TGCACTCTCGCAATCGGAGTCTTGGCGCGCACAAAGCTCAGTTTGTAAAACTCCTTGCCACAATTCGAAATTACACGCCCATCGAAGTTATGTCCATCCTCTGCATCGTCTTGTGAACTAGTTCTAATAACTTTCACGTCCATCCCAAAGAACCGTCTCCCAGAATTGTGCACCAGGCTTTGCTTCCTCCATCGGATGTAAATATCGGCGTGGGCGTGTATTTTGTGACTAGCTGAGGTCAGAGGCAGTCGACAAGAAGTGTTTTCACTAGGATGATGATGTACTTTGTCGTACTTGTAGACTTGATAAGACTCAGGTAGGATCCAAACTCGTTGGGAGCGAAAATTTGACGTGGTGGAGTAATGTGAATCAAAGCCTCGTGGCCAACTTTTTTTTTTTTTTTTTTTTTTTAATCATTGAGTGTATGCAGCCTAACTAGCTATGACACTTCGTGGCCAACTTGTTCGGTACTGCGAAAATGGACTGAGCTTGGCTCTGGTAGATAATTTCACCCCCAGGTTAGTAGAGGACACCACTTACGGGTGTTCAATCTTGCCCCCCTCTCCGGCTACCTTTCTTCTGTGTATACGTGTATCGTCCCTTGTGCTCATTGCGGGTACACATTACAAAACTAGGTTGTGTCCTTGTCAGGTATAGACAAAGACATAATGATAAGTCTTACATATATTATTTTTGATGTACAGATTTTCTATTTTGGTAAAAAGTTCGGCCGCTCTCCAATTCCATAACGTTTATCTGCTAGTCACACTAAATGATTGTTGTGGGGAAACTTACGCTTACACAAGTCTGGATTCAGTAGAAAAGCCTAAGTTCGATTTGCGTGCTAACATATTAGACTAGTGCTATGTTCAGGGGAATGTTCAGGGGTAGGATTAGATAATACAGTATAATGATTAACACTTTTTTTTAATAAAATTTATCGTGAGTTCAGTTATCCAACTTTATTACATGATCAGGGCAATGTATACAATTTGGATGAATCCTTGACGTAAGAGACTTGTTCTCTGGTGGCCTGGCCGCACCAAAAAATATCGAAAGTCCTAGTCGAGTCGAAGACCACCTTTTTCTTCTCCGCAAAGTCAATCTTACTGGCGCTAGGGCGACTCTCCCGGTTTACCGAACTACCTTAACCCCAGTTCTACAACACCAGGCCGCACTTCGTACCCATCGCTTGGGCCCCAGTTAATTCATCGGCCGTCGAGCTATTTCGTCACAGTTTCAAGCTAGACGTGTTTCCCGCTTCTCAGAATGGATATTACACATACCCATGACAGAATTCATCGACACTCTTACACATCCCCTTGGCATATCCAAGATTCCTGGCAAGCAAGTACCAAACGAGTCATAAAATCAGCTTTAAGTCCTAGGAGCCCATTCCTTTTCAGGAAATAGTAGCCTAACCAGATGGTAGTCGACTCCATACGGATTACTGGTCTCTTGTAGCCGGCAGATCATTCATAAATGAGAAAGGCTATCCCTTTTTGCCCTACACTCTCTATTTTCGATACTGAAACTACCTTAGCTATTTTATATTTATAATCAGCATGTTGTTTCTCTCATGCTCCGTTCGCCTAGAGTGTACCAGAACATCTAGACATTTTAATGTCGCTGACGTGGTTTACCGATCCCGGGCTGCTTCTCACGAGAACTCTTCGCAAGTTCTGCAAAGAAGGCAGCAGATCTGCCGAATTGGACTCGAATACCTCATACTTTTCCGAGTAAAGTCAAATATAGTGGATGCCCGGCCATGGTGGAATACAGGGAGCACACCCTAGCAGATTATGCAGCCAAAGAAGCTATTTCCATGACACCGCACTGTTCTTCACCACTATCCCTGTCTTCGTCTAAAAGCTGTATCAAATAGGCTTCAATGGCGGCTTTAAAGGAGTATTGGGACCTTTAGTCCTCTCAATCTCACAAAGATCTTCGGAACAAAATTCCAGAGACATGTCCGGAAGAGTTTTTGCTAGCTAAACTTCATATTGTCTATATCCTCCCCACATTCCCAGGGTAAGGTGACTCTGCCGGCTACCATGAACGTTTTAACCATGTTAATGCATTTATTTACTGCAGGTGTGGTGATCGAAAGTTCCTCAGGCACAAATTACAGTGAGATTTGCCACTTTCAAGACTTCTCGAAGTACCCAGAGCCTACTCAAATGAGAGCACCATCTTGCTCAGTAAAACAAAAGGGGCTGGCAGACTCTAGCTGCTACAGAAAATAAAGTGCCTGCTCGGAATTTCTATCCCAAACTGTCACCTACAAGTTGGGGAACACCTAGTTAATTTCTTCCGAGTCCTACGAGTGATCGTTCAACGCGTCTGTAACTAAGAGATTGTTAGTGATCGGCAAGAAGCATCGCTATCAAACCAGATGAGGTTATCTTCGTAAAAATTACCAGACTGTCTCTGGACAGGATGTGGAGAGGCTATGAAAGTCTCGGCACCCTCCGTAGTTTAATTTGTACCCTACCTTTTTCTCGTAAAGCAGCGCCCTCAGCTAACCATTACAGTTACCCCTGGTGTCATTCACCCAATCGGGTGTAGCTAGGGAGATTTGCACTTCGCCTTACTCCGATTAGAATTTTAATAAAACAAAAAAAACAAATCTCATATTCTGGATTTCATTCGTGAGTATCACTGTGAGGCATGCTTGCTTACACACACAGTCGACCGTCCTCTATGAGTATCCACCAAATAGACGTTTCAAAACCTTTGATTACCCAAGCATGCCTTCATCATCCATGCATACCAGCCCCGCGAGAAGTGTGGTTGTGTTATGCTGGATTCGAGTCAGCAGTCTCCTGTCTCAATTGGGATATATGTCCAAGCCGTCTAGATCTTATTTGGAAGACCGGCCCGAATGAAACATTACGAATTATCTCCTCAGGCGGGTATTCATATTCCTGTGGGCGTATATGTGGAAGCCATCTGATGCTAGAGACTGATTGGACGAGAGATGTGGTGACTGAAATGAGGATGTACTAGATCGCACTTACAGAGTCGATGAGGCTTTGCCCGGAATTGACCTTGTTAGGAGGGGGGTTGATTTGGTTAGGAGGATTAAATCATTGCCTCGAGGGCCAATTTATTCGGTATTGCGAAATTGACTGAACTTGGGTCTTGGAGAAAAATCAGCCACGGGTTAGTAGGGGACACCGCGTACAATTTTTCATTCTTTGCCCTCCACAATGTGACTCTCTCGAAGCGGAAACAAAACCTACTTGCGTTGGCTCTCACATCCCAACGATTCACGTGACATCCACAAGAAGCCCTCTACAAGGTTTACAATTACGAAAAGGCCGATTGATATATTTGAAAAAGAAAATTCAATCGTAGCCTCGTTCCCCTAGGGCGGATGGCCGGTCAATAAGGAGCTTTCCGAATCGAGCCAAGTTGCAGGACGGAGGGCAACACTGACAGTTATTCGCGAGATGAGAGCTCTAATCTTAAATCGAGTCATTGAATCTGTAATTTTTCTCTGAAATTGTGTCGTAGTTCGCAAGCTGCATTCGGAGGTAAAAGCTCATGTATAAAGATGCCGATTGTTCGACGTTGATCTCTGGAGCTCGACGCTCGCCTTTGACCCGCTTCCCGGACTTTTGCACTTCGCGCTTACCGATGCGGATACGGCTGAGACGGGGAACCAACAAGTTCCTGCGCTTTGACTATGACAATGCAGCCGCTAGTCATCTGCGGCGTGTCACGAACGGAGCGTTTGGGCAGCTGGTTGTTTGACCGGAGTGCCATGCACCTGAGCCCACTCTGGCGCACTGGCCACGCCATCGATGGAAAACTCTAGACGCCGGGATCCAATCTTGGCGCCGCACGGACCTTGAGAGGAGTGGTTAAGTCGCAGGGCCTAGTCTGACTACGAGCCAACAGTTCCCGCCGGAAGAATTTGGAATTCCCTGTAGACACGCCGAGCCCGCACCCACCAACCGCCATTCACCCAAATCTGGTAACCCGGCGATCACTGCTTCTCACTACGACGCTCAACTCGACGGGGTCGTTCAACGGCCCCACTCTGTGCGCCCGTATCCTCGGGTTGCAATTCAAATGCAGGGCGGCTCCAGATGCCGCTTCGAATCCCTTAACCAAACATCGATTCGGCTCAGGCGCTATGCAAGGAGTACCGGATCTTGTGCAGCCTGTCAAGAAGACGTCCCACATCCGACTACCCTTGCCAGCCAGGTGCAGATGTCGAATGATGCCTCTGCAGATTATTCCCAGCCCACAAATACTAGTCGATGTTGAATAATGAAAGGAGTGTTACGGAGCGAGAGAGTATACAGGATAGAAGTCACGGAGTAAGAACTAAACAATATACGCAAGATAGAATTTGGACGAGATACGGAAATCCATGGAAACGTCGCACGCCTTCTAAGGACGTGTACTAGGACTACTTTGATGATTTCCTTGTTCTAGCTCGACGCTAGCGTTAATAATAGCTCCAGTCCTCTCCATTTATGAACAATTGTGTTACTATGACAACTAGACCCCCACCACTGCTTAGGCGTGCTTTCACCCTTTGATTGAGAGTCATAATGGGTACTTTGACAAGGAGTCTTGTGCACTGGAAAATGAGCATATCCACAAGACCTCAATTGGCTCCACTGTTCTGGTACTTTAAATAGCTTAACTTGTAGGGAGTGAGGTAGTTCATTGACATGTCAGAATAATGTCAAAATAAAGGATTTAATATGTACAAAAATCTGTTTAATTATCTCAAAATGTTTAAATCAATGCCTCAAATTGGCCGCCTTTGAAGCTAACTTTTTACCGATCCTTTTCCCCATGGTTTTAGGCAACGGGCCATCCATGCACCAATTCATTATTCTACAGTACATATCCTTCCAACCTTATATAAATGATGCGCCTTTGCATCGGCCTTAAACCCTAGATACACGGCTTGCGCATTGATGAAAATCGTTGCGTGACGTGTCGATCTTACAGAAAAAATTTCATGCGAAGCGTTACTAGAATTGGCAAAGACCACCAACGATTCCATCGTTAGTCCAGCAGGCTTTCCCAAGTTAGCAGGTGATTGGGAGGGAAAGAAGGAGCCGTACCTGCGGAGTTGCTAGCCTGACGCTCGACTGGCAGCTTTTGATTCGTCTTTCCTTCGAGGCTGGCGTTACGACCGTTCCAATCACTTCCTCGGCTCATGATGCGCTTCGCCCAAGCGTTAACAGCCGACTCGCCCGTCTCGTCTCGTGCTTGCTTCAGAAAAGGGAGAAGTGATGTTCCACCGGTACCGTGCAGTTTTTTTTTGGAAACGCCCTGATCTGGTAATTTAGATGTTGCTGTAGGTACGTCAGGCTTGTTGGTGCTACCTAGGCCCAGTAGTTTTTGCGTTTGAATGGATTTCGCCTCGTGCGATTTAATAATTATGTATCTTGAAACTATTTTCAAATGCGTAGTCCTGAAGTCGGACAGCATCTTCAAACAGGCGTCATAGGCCAAGGTCAATTCGTCGTTATGTTGGTTACTGTGGACGTAACTGTGAATATTAGCCACCTTGTTCACATCATTTAGGAACTGGCGATGAGGAGCTGGCATGTAGTTTCGCATTTCGTGAATAAAGTTTTGACTCGGCCGCGGTGGAACCGTCATGGGAGCTGAGCCATTTTTTCCTTCACCCGTTGGAAAGTGTTGAATGCCGAGTACGATATCGAAGAACTGGATGATAGAACTCTGCGCGTTGCTGCCCCCTGAGTACTGGTGGTATTTTCCTGAGCCCGTCGCGTCTTCGTAGAAAACACCGTTTGGCAAACCAGCATCGGCGGCGTTTTTACTTCCAGTGAGAAATGGACGGATGCGATGGTAGAAAACGTGAGGATCGCATCTTTCGTGCATGCGTTCGAGCAGTCGTCCGAGGTCACAGATGGCCTCGGCAAAGGACTGTAGGCAACTTGTAACCGTCTCACTGTCGTTGACTCGCGCTGCTTGAATGGCTTTCAACATGGTGGGAATGGTAGGTCCAGCCCGCGCTTCGATAGCCACAGAAACGAGGTAGAACCATGATTCGTCAGTTGATCCGGTAAAGGTACAAAGGGTCGCGAGATTCTCTACATTGTCAATATCCTCGTCTTCAAATAGAACCTTGAAATTCCAGAGACAAACAGCAGCGTAGGTGGCGACCGGAGGAATCTCGAGATGTGCGGAAACCTGAAGCAATGGAATAGAGATACTGGGAGCTAGACGCTGGTCTTCAAGTTAGTAGACTGACTGATAGCGATGCTAGTTTTCATGCATTACCTCAGACGGACGGTCACCTCCCCAGATATAGCTATGGGCCATAAAGGAAAGTATAGAATACGCCCTTCGCCATTCAGACTCATGCTCTAGACCAACACAGGAAAGCACTGGCAACCGATCAATTACTCCACGAAGTCGTTTGCTTAAGATTAACCCTTGGAGGTTGGATATGATGGCCTCCCATTTGTTGTAGTAAGGGTCGGGCAGTCTCTCGAGCGGAGATTCAGTAGGCAGAAAGCCTTTCTGTGCGGTAACTCCATAGTTCTCGGGAATTGGAATGGCAGGAAGCATATTTCTTTGCGATCGATTGGTATGATGGTGGATGCTAAATGGCAAACGTCTTGTACATCCAATCTGGGCTTACTTGATTGCTTACTAGTTAAGTACGAGGTCAATATTGTCTTTTGAATTAGAGTAAGACAGCTTTCTTTTAAAGACAGACAGTCCTGTGGACAGGGCAGGGCCTATAAGTCATCAGGAGAACGCTCGGCGCACCTGCGCGGTCAAAGACCGTCAGGCATATCTATCGTCCTAACGAAAAAACCATTCTTTCTGCACCAGTAGCTGAGCGGTGAGCGAAGATCTATTCTAAGTTTGATTTGGATAAAATTTAGAGTCGTGCCGATGCAAAGCACCTGACTTTAATCACGTGCCGCAAGGCGAAGTCCCTGCAGAACGACCCGAAGCTCCGGCGCGCCGCATGGCATCCAGTGACTGCAAAGAGCCGGAACCGCTGTCCATCACCATTTTTGGCCTCTAGCACAGCTTGGCCGTCAGTTAGCCACGAATGGAGAGGAATTTTATAAGGGCTCACTGCGACTGAAGCACTTTCTAAAAGTATTCAAGCTAGCCGAAGTAATGCTTCCCCCCTGACCTTGGCGTGATCTAAGCACAGCTTAAGGATGGAGACCTATCGCATTACTCTCCTCCCTTAGCAAAGGTCTTGAGAGACTGGATACAAGGCAAATAGCATACACCACACTATCTTACAAGACGGTGCCACAGCGGCTCTTTGGAGCACTCCCCGGCAGATCTACAAACGACCTCGTCTCATGCGTCATCCATAATGTGGAGCACACGATCTAAAGGAAGAAGGCAGTCCTTGTCACCTCGGAAGTACATGAAGCATTCGTCACTATCCTTCACTGACAGCTGCTTCAAATAATAAAGAGAGTGTGCTTGCCGAATGGATCCATTTGTTGGTAAACATTTTTTCCAAGGACGATCTGCCTGCGTTAGAGACGAAGACAGAGTAATAGATCTGGTATTTTTGGAACTAGGAGTCACCCAAGGATCGCCACTGTCCCCAATACTTTTCCTCCCCTACACGGCAGTAGTTAGGGATTCGGCTATGTAGATAATATTGCTATCCCCGGCATAGACTTAACTCCAGACGAAGCTCAGTGGTCGTCTAGCGGGAAGTCGACGCAGGTCTAGGATAATCTGCAGATATCTCCATATCTTTTGACTAATACAAGGTCGAAGTTGTCTACCATCTCGGCCCTAGAGTCAGGAGATACAACCATCCAAACATAAGGGTCGGAACTCGCGATATCCAAGCATCCGACGACATGTGACGGCTCGGAGTGTAACTCGATCGCGGCCTAACCTTCGATAGCAATGCTATCAGATGGACCAGCAGGGTAATACGGCTAGTGCATCACTTTCGACATATCACCTAGTCCACCGCTGGAATTGAAGAATTCTGCGTCACCCACGGTTGCCAGTCTAATCGCTCAGTATTCTCTGCATCTCTAGAATAGACATGAGGAATAGCTTCTGAATCGAAGTTGAAAGCAACCTCGAGCATATCTAAGATCGACGACTTCTCGTCAATGCCGGACCTTTCATTCTCACATGAGTCCTCTACCTCAATCTTACCACACCGTCTCGCCTCAACTACCAATAAAAGCGTTACTCCAATTGCAATCGGGCATTTGCCTCATCAAAACTCGGCTATCACCCAATACAAAGCTACGATGTTATGTATACCCGCGAGGAGGAATTGAAGTCATAATATACAGAGCTCGGATCTTGGCTCACGGGGGACCGTTGCTCTAATGGGGATTCACAACTTGAGAGAAGACAGGTGCCTTGGAAGTGGGACGAAAGAGTGGAGAGGTCACAGATGAGCTTACTGGGACTCACAATTTTCGAGGGGCTTCGACTATGGGGTGCTTGTGGGCACTACAGCTAAGATTTCGAATGGTGCAACCGACACTTCTAACCTAGGAAAAACCATATTTCCTCAGGTATATGGAGGGATAAGAGATAGACTTCAGTCATTACGGGAACAGTTGGCGTACGTTAAGGTGTTAATGTAGAAATTGATCTCTTGGTGGACAATATCGGGGTTTCAGGTGAGGCGCAGGGCATCGGGTCCAGAAATTGTATTCTTTGTATGTTAATCCCGACTTTTTTGAATTGATCAAATTGGTAGTATTGAGTCTTTCGGGATCAACTGCCTGTGTCATATCAAATTAGATTCGGGGATTGTGCCTCACACGTTAAAATTATAATCAATCACCTAGTATACCTAAAGACCAAGGATCGACACATAAATAACAGTCATTCTCACGGTAACTCTAGCAATCGCAATACACGCTGCAGAGGTCTGGTGCCCGGGGCCAACCAGGGAGATATATCGAACTGTCGTGCAAAACTCCTATTGTAGACAGTGCAAGCCATCAACCAAGTTTCCGTGTAAGTAATACACGCTACCCTCCCGACCTGGCGCACCATGCCAATCACAGCCCTGAGAAGAGAGACCGGCATTCCACCAGCACACATTCTGCTCAACGAAAGTAGACTCAAGACTGCCGCACGCATACAAGAATTAGGTAGTTACCATTCGCTCCTACTCAGAGCTATAGAAAGAACTGATAGCGCCCGCCACCCCCTTAGATGAAATATATCAAACAAGCGCAGACTTGGTCTCGACAGAGTTCATGATTCAAGGGTCCATGTACCGACTTTTGCAATAAGCGGAACAACCTCCACTTCTTCGACCCCTGGTAACGCCTCAACCGAAGCCTTCCTGGACAAGCAAGAAAGAGATGGCTGAGTTCACAAGACAGTGGCTCACTAACCTTCAACCCAACTGCCACTTCGTTTGTAGCGATAGGTCCGGAGCGTCCATTCACAGAGTTTCACGGGATTTGATGACTTTTATCAGTGATAGTGGTACGGTAATTGGACAAAGTGGCTCAGGCAAAATTATGAATGTGGAGGTCTACGACGCGGAGGTTCATGGAGCCAGGGATACTATTGATGCAATCACAAGTACATACTGAGGTCGAGGTCATAGCGCCATCCATGTCCTGGTTGAATATTCCGCAGCTATCCAGGCGTTACTGTTGGGAATAACAGTTTTATCATACTGGCGGATTCAAAAGTTCTGAAAAATGGCCGATGAGCTTGTTCGACTCGTTGGAAAACTCTAGGACGATATATGGTGTGATGAACCTCGCCTTATCTGGACGGAATGCTCGCGAATTGGTCAATCAAATATTGTCGGACTTGTGGCACTTGAACCGCCTCCAGCACCATACAGATCTTGAACTCGAGATGCAGCGTAAGAAACCACCAGAGCTTACTTTCCTCGCCTTATTGCAGTTCGCACAGGAAATGACGATGCTGCGATATACTATCTTCACGTCAATCATACCACAGCCTCACTCCATTGCGATTGCGGTAGAGAAAACTCACCGAGCCACCTTGTCTAGTGCAGAGCAGCACTGTCGGCATGGCGATTAAAAAGCCGAAAGCGAAGTGCGTTGGCAATGAAAACTCTGCTCGGACCAAGGGGCTGGCGACTGTTCAAGAAGTATGTCTAGGACAGCGGGATATACGCGGTGGAAGACCGAGGCAATAGAGTAGAAACAAAGCCGGGAATTTTGTGAGACGGAAGCTTCTGAGTATGGCAATCAAAATGAAATGTATATTACATGAGGCTCAGATGTGTGGTGACTAGTACAGAATGTTGGAAGGTGGATGCTACACTATTTCCTTTTATGAGGGATTGCGCGTCGAGGTTTTCCTTTGATTTATTCGGGGCTGCTGAACTTGTCATGATTCAGAACAGATGCGTTTCGGCACGGTCCCGGTCATTTGCGAGGACGAAGAATTGGTATGTGTGTTTGTATTAATTTAAAGATCCTAGGTGTTAAGTGGCCCAGGATTTATTATACACCTGTGGAGCTTGATTAGGATACCAACAGCGGTCTGGCGTTACGGAAGCACTGAATACATCTTTATTACTACTCGCTTAATTCCTCATACATTGTACATTGTACATGTAGTTTGTAGGTAGAGCTTTGCTCTTTAGCTTTACTACCCTTTAAACCTTGAGTCCTTGCTTGCCATAATTAGCGTGTCACAACACTAGGATATACTCGTTATCCCCTATGTGCGACGGCGTGCGCTAATATTACTGGAGATCGCCGTCTGCCGAAGGTAGTGCAGCAATAATTTAGGATTATAAATACTAACGAAGAATACCTAGAAATAATTCAATTAGCGAGGTGCCAGATGATCAAGGGCCGGGTATTCGATAGAGTCGAAGTTAAGAAGTCGAGTTGCGGAGCAAGCGAAATAGTCTGATGACGTAGGATCAAATAAAGTACGAAGAATGTAACTACTAGTAGAAGACTGAGAATATCAGACTATGGGTATATAGGATTATAATATTATATGATTGCTAAAATACGAGATCAAAGGTCAAAAGAATGAAAGTTCGAGAAGCTGGAGAGCTACTTTGTGGTAGCTCCGTCTTCCTTGAGTATAACTAAAGACTATAAGATTATTGAACTTAAGCTAGTAGAAGATCTAGCTCTTTCTCCAACCTTAACCTCAACAAGCTCGATCCAAGCTGGCGCATCACCTTAGAAGATAATCTAACTGTCACTGTCTCAGATTTATTGAGGACCTTAGCCTTGGAACTTCTCCTTGAACTTTCCGCTTCAACCCTTATTCGAGGATATCTCGCCATAATACTAAGGGTCAAAGACCGATGTTCCCAGCGAAGATCATGTATATGACACGCTAGGCTTGTTCCCACCACGTGAATCGCTGCCGAAGTTGCAGCTGATTAAAACGAAAAACCAAAGTAGATGAAAAATAGAAGATTACCTCGAATAGGACCCAGACAACGTGATCCTCAGACATTCTCTCGCCCGTCACATCTCCGAATTTAGATAATCTCTGAATCTCCACCAAGAGCTGAAGATATGTTGGCAAGTTTCCTCCACAATTGTCGGTCCTTCTTCAAAATTTGTTGAAGTCATTACTCA